TCACTTCTGAACAAGAGCTATATAGTTCAGTCGGCCTTACCTGGTAACATAACAATATTTAAATTTTTTGTTCAGTTTTATCTACGTGCGGCTAAAACCCAGATGCAAAGCCGGGACCACACTGTTTCTGTACCATTGCCTATGATATTGCCATCGTGAGCAGCTTAAACCACCAGGATACCTTTTCATAAAGATTACGTGCGACCACAGGTCGATATTTAAAAAGCATCTGGACGAGTGTGGCTCTGATGTTGGGCACAAGATACTGAAGATAAGGTAATGGCATGCACCTCAGTGTTGGTAGCAGAAATCCCCGTTTTTTATGTTTTCCAGACAGGGTTGAGAGCGGTTAATTCATGACCTCTGTCCGGCTGTCTGCGTCTGTCTGTAGGGGCGGAGGAGGTGGCGCTCACGATAACAATCCTACACATGGTCCCATGTAAAAGGAATGTATGTACTGTGTAAAATTGTGTTGCTAGTGGAGACTTACCCTAGGGAAATTCCAGGCAAATTGGTTCTCCAAAATCCTGATCATGAACAATTTTTTTTTTAAATAGTGCTCGTTGGGGTAAGACTTCTCGGCCAGTGCGATTACGTTGAGATGACGTGACGCACGTCCGTCACGACACTGTCGTGCGTCACGTGCTCGTCCGCGCCGCTGATGGCGTTACATTCGGCATCGTTATTGCTGCCAATTTAAATACATTCGAGGCCATAAAAATATGGATGAGTTAGAGCTCCGGCCTGTTTCCTTTTTAAGCACGGAGACGGTTTGAATTCGACAACTTTACTGTGAGCACTGGCAACCCCAAATCATCATCATTGCGATTGATCGTCGTCAATCATCAACAATCATCGTAGAAACGTATGAGCAGCAGGAGTTATTTGATCATCTTATGAGTCGGTGCAGTTACAGTTTGTATTTGCGGAGTGTCGACACTGTACAGTGGTCTGTGACGGGGGGCCGCAATGTTATTTGGTGAAGGATGGAGGAGAGGTCGGGGCTGTGCTGCATCAGCTGTCCCCAGTTGACCTCTTAGATCAAAGGAACGCAGCCTTGCTCAGTCTCCCCAGTGGGGCAGAGAGAACACGCAGGTGGCAGAGAGCACTGCCCTGCAGAGCACCTTGCCTGTGGAATGAATGAGCTGCCACGATCTGTACGGGGGGGGTGGGGGGGAGGCTGTCTTTGTTGCTGTTTTGAAGTCGGATTGAGAACATATTTTCGTAAACGCCGTAAGCGTTCGCGCACTCTCGTCAATTCTGCTCCTCGAGTAATGTTACGGGATCTTCAATGTTCACCACAGGGCGGAACGGTGCGCCTTGACGGTTTAATACATTCACAGACGTTCGCGCGGGATTGACCAGGGCGGTCGCTGGGCTCGAACCGCGAACCTCTGCAGCAAGCGGCTTTCGTGCTCTGGCCCGCTCGGCCGTGGCGAAACAACCTTGCACCCGATGCCGGGTTGGGTTGGGATCCCGCGGAAGGATCCGATGATTGGCAGTGTAGTTTCGAAGCTTGGCAACGTCGACAGCTAAAAATAAACATTCTGATTCTGATTGTGGAGAGGTGTTTATTTATCGGCCCATGCTTGTGAAACGCGCCTCCGCTAACCTCGCCACCGCTCAAGTTTCATTCGGAATGCGAGTGCAAAACTCGCAGGAGTTCGCTGCCACACCCCAGCTAAAGACGTTTCGCCCGTTCCTCTTGTGCGTGGGAGGAGGTTTGTGGCTGTGGGGGGGGCGGTTGCTGCGCCTCGGCAAGAGCAGGAAGTAAGACATCTGTAGCCACTATGGGGGAAGGGGGTCGCCAAGGAGTGGCGATGGCAGCGAGTCACGTGACTCCGCCGGAGTGGTCAAAGGTCACGGTGTGTACGGGGAAATTCTCAGATACAAGACCCTGTCCGTTGTCATGGCCATTGCTCGCGGAAAGAGCATGGGGCGGGGGGATGGGGAGGAATAATAAAACACCAACGCGCTATCCCTCAAAACGAAAGCTCATTTAAAGTTTTTCTTCCAGATTTTAATTTAGATAAAAGTACCGAGACCTTTAATTCGTCACGGGGGGGGGGGGGGGTACCTCCCCCCCCCCTCTGCCCTCCGTTTTGGATGTTGGCAGAGCGAGTACTGGGTTTAAAAACAAGGGGGGGGGGTGGATGCCGAACGGTTGGCGCATGTGGAATCTCTTTTATACGGTTCTTGGCAAAAACATTTTTTTGTTAATAACAAAGGCGAACCGCGATTTTCTTACAAAAGACTTGGTGCGAGCGAGCATTGGCCTCCTCCTGCTTGAATAAAGGCCAGCTGTGACTCGAAAAACAATTCACGCAATGAAGATATATATTGTGTGTGTGTGTGCGCGCGTTCCTCATTCTTCGGGGAGCGGTGGTGCGATGGTTAGCGCACTGCACTACGAACTCGGCGACTCGAGTTCGATTCCCACTTATGACCAACGCCAGTGATGAATATCTGAACCAGGTCCTGGGCTTTTCCCAGGTTGACTTGGCCTCAAATGAGTCCGTGGTGCATTGTGTGAACATCACTTGGGAGACAAGTGTGGCTGGGCGTGGTGCTGGCAATAAACCACCTCGTGTGCCGTGTTGATCTTCATAGGTGCTTGCTATAACAGCACTTGTGCCAATAGACTATACGGGGGATCTTTGTCTTGGGGTTGTTCCTCATTATGAAATATGATTCTTACTGCAGTGCCGAAATGTGTTTTCAGTAATCCGAAAGTTCATGTTTCCATGCTCAAACGAGTGACGGGAGCCACTCTTCTCTCTCCTGATTCCAGGGTCCCATGATCACGAGAGAAGGAACACAATTTTAGAAAACGTGGAAATCGGTTGTCATTTTCACGCCTTAAAAAATGACCCAGATTTTTGTTGTCCGAAAAGGATTTTCTCATCCTAAAGCACTGACATGTAACCCTCACATGTCAGTGCTTTAGCTCAATTCTACCAAGTTAGACATTCATCTGCATCTTACTATTAAGAAATAAATTTCCGTCTGCACATAACCATGATTTCCATGTCGACCTCTTATATGAATCTCAATCAGCAGTCACTCTGGTTAAATAAAATAAATTGAATTGGCTAGTTCTGAAACGATGACAGATGGATGGCGTTATGAGTGCAGTGCTCTGGCAGAAGGTTCAGATCCTGGCCAGGGCTTTAACTAAACCCACCGTTAAATTTTGATTTGAAGCTTTCGTGACTGCAGGGATTCATATTCTTGGTTCTTTCGGTAAAGTCACGTAGAAGGGAAACAATAAAATAATAAAAATATAAGACAATAAAATTCTCACGACGTTTCGACTGCAGCACAAGCAATCGTCATCAGGTGTGAAAACCACAGCAAGAAAATTTGTGCACAATGACATTTATTGTTTCCCTTCTACGTGACTTTACCGAAAGAGCCAAGAATATGAACCCACCGTTGCACAAGAGGACGATAAAATGAGCACCGCGTCAGCACTCGTGTGTGGTGATAAAGGGTACGCCTCAAAAACCTCAACTTTTAAACCTAGTCCAGAGAACGTGGCTGGCCCTGGTGGACAGAAGGTGTGTGCGTGTTGTTTTATTTAAAACAAAAAAAAAGGAACGTTACGACGTGGGACGCCAGGACCCGTACGCCCCTGTAAAACCACAGATAGAGATCGTGGTTTCCTACGCCATGGTCGCTTTTAACATGCGCTCGAATCATCGAGGCGCGAGAGCAGACCCCCGGAATGAAGAAATGGAAGAATAAATCCCATCACCGAGAAAGGTGCACCGTAGTGATAAGGCGCGGGGGCTTTAGCTGTTGGCTGTGTCATTGTGCACATTAATGTCAAATCGTTCACTCTGGCTGTGCTGTGTTTTCAAAAGGAAAAAAAAAATACGCGAGAAAAATATTCCTTGCGGGGGCTGTCCTCGAATGACCTTGGCTTTTGTGTGTGCGCGCGAGCGTGTGTGTGCGCACGGAGCAAAATTATGATGCTCTGGCTCGCTGCGGATTATGCATTTCTCTGGCAGCGCATTGTATGTAGTATCATCGCGCGGCTACGTCTGTGCAACTCCTCACACGGCTGCCAAAATTGTTTTGATTTTACCAGAACGTTTATTTGGTGAATGCACAGCACGCGGTATTTTTTTTTTTGCCGTTTCCATCTCGGGATTCTTAGGATTCTGTAGCTAATTCCTAAGGTTCCGCCGAGTTCACAAGACGAGCCATTCAATTTGCATTCTGCAGTGACTTTGGCTCAAGTGGTGCCCACCGCTGTGTGGGGCAGAAATCCCAGAGGTCATTTGAAAGGGATCCTCGAGGTGGAGATTGAGGATACCCTAAAACCGTTGGCCATTGTCTAACAAAAATCTTTTTATCGTTCTGTAAAGAGATCCAAACTGGCTATACCTTTCAGTTTTGTCGGGTAACCTGCGACTGTTGCCACCCATTTGAGTACCGAGCTATACAGTTATAAACGTATTTTGTTATTGAACCGTAACATAAACACGTGGAACTTAGTGTGTGCGGTGTTGTAAATGCAATCGGGAGGAGAGAGCTGTGAATTGGCTTGGTGTGTGTGTGAAGTTTGGAGGAGGGTAGATTGCTGATTCAGCAGCAGCAGCGAAACTGGAAGACCTAATGCCACACGGTTAGCTGATGAAACCGTCACAGTAGTCCATAGCGGCGAGGGATTGACTTTTAACAATTGGTTCTTGAAGGACGTGTTAACTGCAGAGCACAGGTAAGATCACCCAAAGCCAGATGGAGGTGGTGTACGAGCTTTTTTCGATTTTCTTAAGAGCAAATTTTAGCATTTGATTGTTGGCTCTCCCATCAATCGAGGGATCCGGAAGAAGGAAGGGAGGTGATGGCGAGGTGTGGCAGCACCACTGTTATTCAGTGCATTCACCTTTTCATGTTCATGTAGAATTCACCTGCCCCGGCATATTTCCCCACGTGAGATCTCCATGCTACTTTAACGTCTTCTCGTCGCCGTCGTTGTTTTAACCCTGCAGATTGCTGCCGCAGAAAGCGATGCACGGCAGCTGCACTGAATCGGTCGCCCTCCCGAGCCCGGACCCTCCCCTGGACCTGTCGTTCACGGCCGCCCCCCTCGACTCCTCCGTCCAATCGGAGCGCTCCACCTCGCGCGACGGCCTGCCGCATGAAGGCGCCGCTGCCGCCGCGTCCAGTCGCGCGATGGCGGCCGCTCTCCCCTCGCCGGTCGACGGCGGCCAGGAGGAACGGCGCGACGCTGCCGCCACCACCACCTCCATCGCCGCCGTGGAGGAGATGGAGCTGCAGTGCGACGACAATGCCGGCGGTGGTGCCCAGAACGGAGGAGTGGTGTACGACGCCGACGACATTGAGGTAGGCGCGACGCAGCCGTCGACGGCCGTGCTGGCGATGCGAGAGCGCCTTTCGCTTCAGTGCCATTGTGCAGGTCGTGGGGTTATTTGAACCGTGTTTTTCCATGCTGGGCAGTGTCCGAGTGGGTGGGCGGGTACGTGAAGGCGAGGGACGTAGATATGGCAGCGTAGAAGTACAGCACAACGATGGATCTTGGTGCACTGCTCGCAGGTCGGCCACCACGTGGCCCCTGCGGCATTCGGCCTAACAATCCCTGGGCGGCTTCTCTCGTTGTAAGGCAGTGTTCGCGATGTAGCGACGTGTTTCGGGTCCCTGTTTGAAAATGCTTAAGGCAAATTATCTGGTGATGCTGCTGCTGCTGTTTTGGCAGTGGTGCACAAGCACAGTTAACAAACAGTAACTGAACACGTTTGTCAATAACACTGCGGCCTTTAAAATAAAAAGTATACAGTGGGCGAAGACTGCCGGAGCAAGTGCTGTTAGCGAGCAGTGCCTATGATGGCCGGCACGCATGCGCGGGGGTGGGTGGCCAGCACCATGCCCGGCCGTGGCTGGAAATCGAACCCATGATGTCGGGTTCATACCATGGCGTACTGCGCCACCGTGCATTCACTTTAACACCGAACTGCAACCCTTTGCCTCGATAAAATACTTTTTAAAAAATTACAACCTAGTTCATTTAAGGCCGTTTTTAATTTAGACTTTTGCATTCTGTGTGGACCAAGCGGCGGTACGAGGAAGGAGGAGGAGTGAAGTTGTGATCAGCAGGTGCAGATGTAGAGATGAGAAGTGCACGCGACTGTGGGAGTCATTGTGAAACCAGATGGGCACGCTGTATTCCTCCGCCCTGTTGGCTCGCGCTCCGCTCCGTGCTCCACTCTGGAATCCGCTCCGCATTTCACTCCACCCTGTTGACTCGTGCTCTGCTCCGTGCTCCACTGGAATCCGCTCCGCATTTCGGTCTGCCCTGTTGACTCGCGCTCCGCTCCGTAATCCGCTCCGCATTCTCGGTTTCCCCCCCCCTGAGAGCATTGCCGAGAGTGTGGCATCGCCAGCTGACAGAGCAGGAAGAGATGTAAAATGTTCATGACTAATTAAACCATTGTAACCCCCCCGCACCCAAGTAAACTAAACTCTATACTAAACTATGTTCTTGGTTCTTTCGGTAAAGTCACGTAGAAGGGAAACAAAATAATAAAAATATAAAACAATTTTATATTTGCATAACTTTTTTTCTTATTTTATTGTTTCCCTTCTACGTGACTTTACCGAAAGGACCAAGAATATGAATCCCTGCTGTCACGAAAACTTTAAATCAAAATCTATACTCAACTATTTTTATTTTAACCAGGTAAGACCCACTGAGCTATATAGCTAATTTTCAGAAGTGACCTGGCCACAAATGGTAGCCTTGCAAAATGACTTCATGACGTGGAAATTTATAGCAGCCAAATATTCTAAATGCATGTGTCTAATTGTGGAAGGAAAAAAACCAGAGGACCCGGATAGAAATGCACGTGACCACAGGGAGAACATGCAAACTCCTAATCTAGGGGCGTCAGGGTCAGAATCGAACCCACTACCTCCTGTATAAGTGGGGGTGACCATTTGATTGAAATTCGTCTGTGGCTTTATGCGAGGCTCACAATTCACCCGATTTGGTTGCCTTGCCGTGTCCGGAAGGCAACACTGGATTTTATCCCGATAAACGATCGGACTCTCGGAGAGCAGCACCTTTTAACAACGAGGTTCACAAGAGTTGTGCAAAGTTCACTTCACTATGCGATGAGAAATAAACATTGTTTGCGATTGTTTGTCGTGTGCACTATTCGCACATTTGGGCGCGGGTATTCAGTTATAGAATCCTAATTTAGAAATTGTACGAATTCGCCGACATCTTATGGTGAAAACTAGATTTTGGCGCTTCTTGACTGCAGGGATTACTCTTTGGTTCTTTCGGTAAAGTCACGTAGAAAGAGAAAATAAGAATTGAATGATAGCATACGAAGTTTCGATTGCAACACAAGCAATCATCATCAGGTACAAATGAAAGAGAAAACAAACCTAGTAAACTTAGAAATATAATGCAATGCAACACAACCAAACATAACAGTCAACACCCTACCTGGTTGATTACGTTCTTCCAAAGATTGCTAGATTTTTAAGAGAGAGACAAAACACAGAACCGGAGACACATAGACAGACACATAAGCAGAGAGAGAGATAACGCATGGCCATGCGTTAATTGCCTCGACACAGAGGCGTTGTTTCTCTGCGTGCCTATGTACGTGTCTCTCTCTGTGTGTCTTTGTGTTATCTCTTTCTGCTGATGGTGAGTATCGTTGACGTACCGTGGATTGTATGCAAGTCGATATGGCTGCAGGGGTCCCAGTTTTAGAAGCTTCCCGAGTTCAATTGTTCTGGTCACGGTCAACTCGATACTTCATTGTCATCATCAGTCATGGTCCTTGGCCCTTGCGTAGCCCCTGTCTAAACATGTACAAGTTAAACGTTCTATTTATTTGTTATTTTAGTGGCGGGGGGACAAAAACTAAAATCACTTAACTTATATGATGCAACCAGTTACGAACATTTTGTGAGATAGGATGCAGGTGGTCACATCCAAAATATTGTGAATCAAAGATCAACGCAGCTAATCATCCTACTTGGGTCAATAAAATGAATATGTCGTTGTGGGAAATCAACGTTGTTGGTCCTGTGCAAGGTCTGGTCTCTTGTCGGCATGTTCACCACCATGTATGTATCTTGGAACTTCTTTCGCACCGTACGTAGCCAACCGTGTTAATCGGAGGTGCCGGTGGATTATAACTCGTAACCTTCCCACCGTCACCCGAGTGCTCTTGCGCAGAGTCACCCGCCTGACTCTCACTCTCATCCCCCCCCCCCCACTCGGTGTGGCCCGGGGCGGCGGAGTTGACGCCGCCACCCCCCGTAAACATCCTCCGCCGCCTCTCTTCCCGTTTCTCCTTGTGCTGCCACGCGCGCAGGACCAGCAGCCACACTCCGGCGCGCCGACTCCCTTCGACAATCCCTTCAGCGCCCCCTCCTTCCCGCAACTGTCACCCGCCTACTGCTCCGTCATCCACCACCCGCTCGCTCCCAGCGGCTCCGGATCGCCCGGCTCGCTCGGCGACGAGAGCCCCCGTGGCCTCGGCCGCGAGAGCGCCCCGCCGAGGACGCCGTGCCGCAGGAGCGCCCCCGCCCGGTCGCTCATCTACTCCGAGCAGATGTTCCGCTCGTCGACGGCGACCTTCGAGTACGTCAACGGCGACCTGTCCGCGCAGTCCTCGGAACTGTCCGACCGCGGCTCGCCCGACGTGCAGCTCATTTCCGCCACGGGCGAGCGGACGCGCGCCTTGGATTACTCGTCGCCTGCGGACATGTCGTCGCGCCATTCCCAGCCGAATGCAGGCGCGTCGTACCTGCCGCCGGCGTACTGCCAGAGCGCACCCTACTTCACCTACGGCTCGTACTTCGGTGGCATGGGCGGGTAGCGGCGGCGGCGGCAGCAGCAACGGCGGCCCTCTAAACCTGTCGTACCAAGGGCACGGAGCCGAGTCGGGACTCTCGCCTGCGATCGCGGGCAGCTCTGGAGCGCCAGCGATTTCGACAAACGGGAACGCGTACAGCTCCGGCTCGGGGTTTGACGTGATGGGCCAGCTGGGTTTTGGCTGCGTCGGTGACATGGCGGCGGCCCAGTCGAGTTACCTGGGACAGAACTCCATGGGCGGCTGCCACATGCAGTCGACGGCGAATGCGGACCCGCTAGGCCTCGACGATTTGGAAGACATCGACTTGGATGGGCTCCAGGAATTCCTGCAAGAAGGAACGTTTGGACAGGTAAACTGCGGTAGGGGAGGGGGGGGGCGGCCATGCACACCGGGAGAACCGGAATTTGCTCGTTTGCTCACAGACGATGTTTTGACCAGGAACAGCGATGGTGGTGGTCAATCATCGTCAATGGATCGTTTCCTATGTTTGGTGTTCATGCCCTTCTTATAATGGAAAGGCTAAGGTGCTGCGTTTCACAGGTAGGTAGTCTGCCAGTAAGGGGGGTCATCTGTGTTGTTGGTTTACCATATTACATTTTTTTAGACCGAGTCACCAGTACACATCGGCCATCTCATTTTTTTATATCATCGGACGTAGACGGCACGTATTTCTGGGTAACCCTTTCCCCTGCTGAATCTCAGAACATACAATTTTATGGAGATAGGTGTAGCGCTGTTGTTTTTAAAGACATTACTCACCGCAGAGAACTGTACCGACACGACCGCACTACGCTAGCCGACGCCAAACTGTCCCACACGCCCACCCCCGCATGGCCTTGTGGGAGCCTCGGGTACGTCTTCCGACCTGAAGACGTATCGATATAGAAAAACAGATGACGTACACGAACCGGAATGTCAAAGGGTTAATGCACCCCACATTATTAACCAGGGCGGCTGCTGGACTAATGCACTCCGGCTCAGCCAAGTCACTGCGCCCTCGTCGCGTGTTTATTAGCAAACGGTCCGACGGCTCCCCTTCTAGAGCCGCATGCCACCATGCATTGAACACAGTCAGTGCAATCGTCACGAGCAGCCGGCGAGTGCTCGCCTCCACTAGCGTCCTCGAGTCAACCGGTGAAGGTCCACGTTCTCGTGGACAGGGTCAGTCTCTCCGCGTACGGCAGCCGCTTCAGAGCTCGCACAAAGCGGTGCTCGTTTAGCTGTAAGGCGGCACCCCCACCGCTTGGCTGGACCGTTTAAACGGTTTAAACGGTTATACGGTTATAATAAGTCGTGTTGTTTTTAGTTGTCCTTCCCCCTCGCCTCCGATTAGCACGGTTGACTACGGACGATGTGAAATAAGTTCAACATACGTACATGTTGACTTGAAAAAACGACTCTGTCGAGAATTGAGACAAACAGCAGCGCAATGTGTATTTATAGAGCGCCATCTAAATGGTCTACATGTGACCGCATCTCCAGACGCTGTACATGAACAGAGGGCAGTGTTTGTTTTGTGGAGAGAAGGAAGCAGAGAGACGGTCTTGGGCAGAGGGGAGGGAGGGAGCTCTTGAGCCTGGACTTGAATGCCATCTGAAGCTGTGTGACTCACACTGTGGTCTGAGTGTGAAACTGGTTGTGTCGGCCTGCCCGGCCGGTTTGTGCATTTGCCTCACAATCACAAGGGTCACGAGTTCAAACCCCATCAGTCAAATCGGTACCAATTTGCGCGCATTCATCCGTGGTCATGAAGAGACATGGCTTCTGCCACTGGAATGTGGAATTTTTACTCTTTCCTCAGTGCCCGCTAACAGAGATGAGGCCCAGCCCTCTCACTCTCATAAGCAGGACGACGTAACGACGACTTGTAAGAGTCCCAATCTGTATACTTTCTGGTGCGTCCTAACACTAATGTATCATTAAACACATTATAGCCCTTTGGAAATCCACTGCTGGATGAAGGCCTCCCTGTGCCACGTCATTCACGGGGGCTGTTTGAACATCATCACGCTGGTCAGTGTGTCCTTGGTGGTTAAGGTGGGATATCCCAGGAGTGGCCCAGATATCACTCGCCACTGATGTTAGCCGCTGCCAAAATTTTTCGCCCGGTGTGCTCACCACCGCGCCACTGCTTCACCCCAAACACTAATATAATCGTGCCAAATAAAGAGAATGGTGTAAGTTTGTTGAAATTGTAGCTGAATTTAAAGCGATTGGATTATCGACTGTTTGCAGCCATTGCTGCAATGCCACAGTCGTCATAGACAACGGGGGTGATAAGTCAGAGGGCCCTGTAAGCGCCGACCTTGCCGGACGCGTGTCGACTGTGGAACAGCTGCTGGATCTGGCGGAAGGAAGTGACGGCGGCATCATTGGCATGGGTCGTCGTGACCTCTTGGTCATGTGACATCTTGGTCAGTGGTTTCCTCGTTCCAATGAGAAATGGGGCAGTGCCGCTGGTGGTGAAGATTCCACATTGCCATGCCGGGCTATATCTTACGCCGAGAATAGCAAACTCTTTAACACTCCACAAAGCCTAGCTTCGCCAGTGTGTTCATTCGGCAGTCTTACCAAAGTGTTTCCTTTCTTCACAACGTAAATCTGATTTATGACGTGCGTATATTCTTGTTAGTTTAAAGAGCTTGTAAAAAAACACCAGTGCGTCATGCAGCTTCTAAGTTTGCATTCGTGGAAATTACAAAAACGGCGAAAATCCTTTGGAGCCTTGCTCTCACGTTCACAAGCGGCTGTTTATTTCTCGGTGTGTATATTTCTTGTTATCCCCGTTGCCTTCCTACGTGGCTCTTGATTTTGGTCACAAGGGGACCTTGTTTTCCACAATAGAGGTTTTTTTTTCTTGAGTTAGATCGCGTAAATATTATCGCGTCGTAAAACCCACCACCACCACCTGACGCAGCCAATTAGTAATGTTTGTCGCGTAAAACAAAACATTCGTTACTAGTTGGGTGCCACGGGTGCGTCGGTGGGTGAACCCACCCAACGCATTTACAATGTGTTGGGTGGCTTTACAAGGGCACCTCGTTTGTGTTGGGGCAAATAGGGCAGCAGAGGCCACCGCCGTGCGACAGCCGGTGCTGGGGGCACGTGTGGAGCCTCTTGTTTACACGGAAGCATTGGCTTTGTTTTGATGGAGCAAAAAAGGGAGAACCGGAGCCGTTCTCGCCGTGATGTCGCGGCGCGTGGGTCAATGTCCTTTTCGTATCCGGCGGTCCCTCAGTTAACGATGTTAATTGGTTCCACGACAACCATCGTTAATTTAAATTATCGTTCGTCGAATATAGGAAATACGATGGGAAGTTGACCTTTTTCACCCCCAAAACATAGTTTATAATATTTAAATATGCAATTTGAATAAATAAACGTTGCAAGAACGTATTGAAGCATTCATATTAATAGAGACATGGATAAATAATGAATACATTGAGCAGAAAAAGGTGCATAAATAGTGTAAAATAACACATTCCTGCGGAGGGAGCTAGTAGGAACGTTGGGTTGCTCGGGCAATGGCCAGGGTCACACGGCGGCACCACGTGGTGTATTCCGCAAATATGCCCGACTGTGAGGGCGGGCACAAGCCGGCGTGAGTAGGTTAAATGTTGAGTTTTATAAGGACACCACGGGGTGACCAGCCCCTCCCCACCCAGCCCCTCCCCACCCAGCCCCTCCCCACCCTCCCCACCCAGCCCATCCCCACCCTCCCCACCCAGCCCCTCCCCACCCTCCCCACCCAGCTCCTCCCCACCCAGCCCCTCCCCCCACCCTCCCCCACCCAGCCCCCACCCAACCCCCTCCCCACCCTCCCCACCCAGCCCCTCCCCACCCAGCCCCTCCCTCCCCACCCAACCCCTCCCCACCCTCCCCACCAAGCCCCTCCCCACCCTCCCCTCCCCACCCAGCCCCTCCCTCCCCACCCAGCCCCACCCCTCCCATATTTGGATGCACGACGGACACAATAATCCCCTGTGGGCTGGTGGTGTAACCAGGAGGTTCCTACCAGTAAGAATTCTTACCTGAGGTGAAGAAGATGGATGCCTCAAGGGAATGATGGAGAAGTTGGGGTGGGAGAAAATAGTTTTCCTCCATAGGCAACGCAACATCAGTCTCTCACCCGTTCACGCTCTCACCTGATTTCAGGCTCTCACCTGGTTCAAGCTCTCACCTGTTGAGGTTGTTCAGGCTAGGATTCGAAGGAATTTGATCACTGTCTCTGCGCTTTCGAGTTCTCGATCGGATATTATGTCCGATTCGTGAAATATGCGCGCGTTATAAATTGCATAGTGGGTGGTGGCATGGACTAAAGAAACAAGTTCTTACAAAGGTAGAAAGCCTTATTTATAAAGGGGTAATAATTATATCGGTCCTGCAAGGGATGATGGGTTGATTCAGTAGTCCGCAACCACCCGAATTAATATTTTATTAATTTTTCCGCACGTGGCTTTGTCTTCCCCTCATTGAAATTATTTTCCACTCGTGCTCCTGGCATTGCGACGGCATTACGTTAAGCCCCGTTTGGAACTCTCACAGTATAAGCAGTGAATCCGCCTCGTGGCAGTGAACTACACCTGAGGATATGTCACGTCGGCTACTTCTGGAGACGTTCCAATAAGGCCCCCTATTCCACCACTGGTCAGTGAACCTTGGAGGAAAATACGCCCTGCGCAAGTGTTTGTGTTCGTTGGCTGGCAATCAGATGGAAGATTTAACACGGTAGGCGTGTTTACATTGTTTTCACGGGCCTTTGAACAAATTACCGGAATGCGCCCGTTCTTGTCAGATCTCTCCAGCTAAGCAGCGTTGAGTCTGGATATTTTAACACGTAGGCTTTCGCGACCAATATCATCCATAATATAGGTTTTTTTTTTGGGTTAGATCGCGTTATTGTTTGGATGTGCGACCACCATGCGTGCAATACAGGTGTTGTAGGCAGCTGCAGGACTACGTTGTGAGTAGCAGATGGTGGCGCAGCAGTAATCTATCGTTGTACTGCATTTCCGTGCTCCCGTGTCGACGAGCGGGCCCACATTCACCAACCCGCGCTGACCAGTGTGGTGAAGTACGGCCAAAATAACTCTCCCCACCCCCCCGGAGCCCACACGGCGTGGCCAGTCCCTCATCTAGCAGTGGATTGACAAAACGGGCTGTGATTGTTCACATGTTACAACACCGTCGAGTTCAGAGTGATGCGATGCTGTAATACGGTAAAATCGGACGTGCGATCAAATCAACTCTCAAGCCCAAGATCAGCCATCATTGGAAGAAAATAGGCGTGGCGTTGCCCGTACTGGGCTTGTCTTTGCCCGTGTTTGGTCTCGTAGAAACGGAGATCAG